CCTGAACCGTGGGATTGGCCTTGAGCATATCCAGAGCGGCCCAACAACCGTTTGCACTATGACAGTTAAGGCTACCAATGCACAATTGCGACAAACTGACCGGGCCAGGACGAGGTTCAATCCCCTCCTGAACCAGCTGTCTGCGCCACTGGTTGCGGGCAGAATGTTTTGACACCCAACTGTCAGAGCTCTTGGTCTTTGAATACCAAGACTCGGCTTCATCATCGAGATACCCCAAGCAGTACAAAGAGCGACCCTGTTCTGAGGGCAAGCACCCAAGCGTTTCCCAGCACTGGACTGAACAACAAGAGGAACTTTCCGCAAACCAAGGCAGCGACGGTGGTAGTTCCCTCGTGTCCAAGTGCGACATTTCACACAAGCGTGAAGAGAAGCAGTGCGACTGCGCTGCTTGGCCGAAACCAGAGGCCGGGACAACCAATCAACCGAAACAGGGACAAGCTCATGCCCCTTTTGCTTCAAGTCTGTACAAGATAAAGCCCTTTGTTGCAGCTTTTTCCCAACCTGTTTTTGGGCATCTCTGAAGTTGACCACTTTAGCAGGATCCTTTTAGGCAAGTTTCCATCGAAGGACATTGAGACGGGCAGCATCGGTCTTGTGTCTCGGGCGCTGCGTACGATAATGATGTTGCACCGACTGGGTCTTTAAATAGGCAGGCAAGGTCGGCAGGGCCGGACAAAAAGGACAAACCCAGTCTCGTTCATCCAAGGGAAGCTTGTCACTGGCTTCAACCGGAACACTATATTCCCGTATAGTAAACACTTTCTCTTTCTCGTGAGCATGCCTAGCAGCAATGTGGTTAGCCCTTTTCACAGTCAGAGAGCGCTTGCTAGCACCACTGCCAGCGAAGGTCATTTGGCGCAGGTTGCAAGTCCAGCTAATTTTAGGGGCACGTTTCCCGACCAGTAACAAGTTCCCAACCACATCAGCTCCACCTCACGTGTTGGAGAACTGCGCAGGCCCCACGAGACAACGAAGATCGGCAGTATTCCGCCAGAACCAGATTGTCATCCTCCAAATACTGAGACCACCTCAGAAAAATGACCAACCTCAGAAAACTTCCGGGAACCCGAAGAAGACCTCAAAACATATGTTTGCCACCAGCAAAATGAGCGGAAGAAGCAGTGCGTCCCCCAAGCGACCCTTCAAACTGGTTACCATACGATTTTTTTGTCAGTGCTGCAGCCACCACCGTTAGAAAAACCGGTGTGACCCCCCAGAGATCCCTTGAAGGATTTGGCACGAGGAGCCTCAGAACGAGAATCATCAAAACTTCTTTTGGACCGTTTCATGGGTCCGGATTGACTGTCTTTCGAATCCCTCTTGGAGTGGCCTGCGGCCTCTCTGTCCACTCATCTCGGCAAGTGTAGCTTGCGAACAACTCCGTTTAGTGCAGCCACCCAAAGAAGGAACGCGATTCGACGGAGGTCGACCAGATCCGCCCCCTTTGTTTTCGCGACCCCCTGCCGGTCGTCCAGGCAAAGCCTTAGCCCGAATTCGCAAAGCCGTCTCAGCCTGGCAGCCTGGACATCCAGGCATTCGTAGTGGCCCCATGTCCGGTAATACAGGAGAAGGTCTTTTCAGGCACCCTCACTATTAAAGGTATATCTTTGCCCAGTTTCGTGGATACAGTGAATGGGCCGGTCAAAAGTTAGTCGTGTCCGGCATGGTTTTGTCCATGGTGTCTTTATGATCCCAAAAAAGAAAATACTTGTCCCGATGTCGCTTAAGATGCGAGGCCGCCGCCGCACGAAACAGATCTGCGGCGATGGTCCCCCCACCCTTTCAAACAAACAGTTACCTTGTCCGTCATTAGAGAGACGTTTAACCGTAGCAGGAAGAGGGTGAGCAAGACTCCATTTCTTCTTTTTCTCAGGACTGACACCGGACTCAGCACTTCGCTTAGTGCCATCATGAGGCTCAGTCATATCAGCATCACTCTCAGCGGACTTAGTTTGACCTTCTTTGGCACGAGCAGAATCATGGCTCGCTTCCGATTCAAGATTCCCAAGTAGGAACCGGAGGGAAGTCAGGAATGTTAGGAAATTCCTTTCCCAATTGAACACCAAAGTCACCCTTCAACTTGGTGGGTGGGGTCCTTTACCGAAATTAAAAAACCTCTCAACCACAACAAATTTCCCGTCATCAAAAGAATCTCCATCGTACAGCAGTTGCATATACGTCTGATCCCCACTATGAATGGCCTTGAACCCCCAGGTGGTACCACTACGTTCCCATCTTTTGGTGGTGAACGAAATTTGAGAAAAACAAGAGGCCGTAAGGAAACTCTCAACCTGCTCAAGCTGCCAAAATCGAGGAGCAGCTCGCAGCGACCACGCTTTAGGGCTATTGTTGGCGCTGTCAGCAGGTTTGGTCATAGAACGAAGACCCAACTGACGCCAGCCCCTTGCAACCCCATGTGACGCAGCGTGCTTTGCAACCTTTCCGGCATACGCTCGCCAAGTTTCGCCTTGATGTCTTTCAATCCAAGAAATGAATGGTTTGGGCCCACACCCTTCTGCAGGAGGGGCGTTCCAGTCTAACGGATCAAAAAACCACCGCATCCCCTCAAACGATCGTCCACTAGCAGTTAAAAGGAGGCCAAGTTGCTTGTCCTTGAGAAAACACGAATAAGCCCCTTAACCACACTCTCAGAGCCCCCAGCCCCAGTTTGGAGTTCCCAGCTCCAAGAATCAAGGAACCCCTTTTGGACGCTAGGGGCAACCCCAGTGATCCAACGCCGGACGGACGCCCCCGGAGAATTTGATTTTCGTCCAGGTCTTGGAGTCCGTGAAGCGTGAGTCCAAAGTAAAACGTAAAACAACAGAATTCTTCCGAAACTCCTCAAACGAAGCCTTCCCGGGTCTGCTACCAGAGGGAACAATGTCTCTTCCGTCAAAGGAATTCGAGTTTCATGAAAGGTCCAAGAAGGCAGCGTCGCCAGATATTAGTATCTCCCGCAATAATTTCGGCAATTCCCGCCAGCGTAGTTTTGTTATCAACAAAGATAACAAACGGAGTCGAAGTCCCATGTTTGTCATCCAGCGGCCCCAACAGGGTGGGGTCAGAAACGAGATGGGCGTTAGGCCAATCTGCAGGACGCAGTCGCAGCGCACTTCCTTGGCGGAGCAACAGTAGGTCCCACGTTTCCCTTACCAGTGGAAGATTCGTCCAATTTTTGTCTTTGACACCAGTTGAGGCTTTCGGTCGTTGCTTTTGGTGAAGTTCCAAGAACTGACCATTGCGAGCGGCATCAACTGAGGCAATCAATCGATCCAACAAACCTTGAGGCGTTTTCGGGGCACGGGCGAGTAAACGAATCAGGGCCCCAACTAACCCAAAAT